TTAAGTGTCTGCCCTCGGCTCAGGCCATGATCCCAGGTTCTGAGATCAAGCTCCACATCAGGCTCCCTGCTCAGTGGGGAGTCTGCTACTCCTTCTCCCTCTGCCCTTGCCCCCTGCCCACGCTCTTGCTCTTTCTCTCAAATGAATAAATAAATTTACCTAAAAAAAAAAAAAAAAGATTGAGCGGTGCCTGGGTGTCTCAGTGGGTTAAGCCTCTGCCTTTGGCTCAGGTCATTATCTCAGGGTCCTGGGATCGCACCCGCATCAGGCTCTCTGCTCTGTGGGGAGCCTGCTTCCCCCCTCTCTCAGCCTGCCTCTCTGCCTACTTGTGATCTCTCTGTCAAATAAATAAATAAAATCTTTAAAAAAAAAGATTGAAATCATATCAAGAATGAAATGTGTGAAATGGGAAATCAAGTACAAAACACACACACACACACACACACACACACACACACACACTGGAAGAAACACAAACATGTGGAGCCTAAATGACATACTGCAAAGATACACTAATCAAAACAGTATGGTCCTGGCATAAAAATAGACACAGATCAATGGAAGAGAATAGAGCCCAGAAGTAAATCCATGCTTATATGGGCAATTCATTTATGACAAAAGAGGCAAATATACAATGGGGAAGAGACAGTCTCTTCAATAAATAGGTCTGGGAAAACTGGACCAATTTATTACACATACACAAAAATAAAACAGATTAAAGACCTAAATCTAAGACCTGACACGATAAAAATAAAGAACACATAGTAATCTCTTAGACCTTATCTTTAGCAATAGTTTTCCAAATATGTCTCCCCAGGCAAGGGAAATAAAGGCAAAAATAAACAATTGGGACTACACCAAACTGAAAAGCTTTTGCACAGTGAAGGAAACCATCAACAAAACAAAAAAGGCAACCTCCTGAATGGGAGAAGTTGGTTGTAAATCATATATCTGGTAAGTGGTTAATAGTCAAAATATACCAATAGCTTATACAACTCAATATCAAGAAAACAATCCAATTTAAAATGGGCAGAAGATGTGGATAAACATTTTCCCAAAGAAGACTGGATCCAGATGGCCAACAGACACATGAAAAAATGCTCAGTGTCACTCGGCATCAGGGAAATGCAAATAAAAGCCACAGTGAGATACCACCTCACACCAGTCAGAATGGCTAAAATTAACAACACGAGAAACAACAGGTCTTGGGGAGGATGTGGAGAAAGAGAAGACTTTTTAAAAAAGAAAAGATTTTATTTATTTGAGAGAGTATAAGTGGGGGGAGGGGCAGAAGGAGGGGGAGAAGCAGACTCCCCACTGAGCAGGGGACCCAACAAGGGTGATCCTAGGACCTTGAGATCATGACCTGAGCCAAAGGCAGACGCGTAACCAACTGAGCCACCCAGGCATCCTGAAAGGGGAACCTTCTTACACTGTTGGTGGGAATGCAAACTGGTGCAACCACTGTGGAAAACATTATGGAGCATCAAAACGTTAAAACAAGAGCGACCATAAGACCTAGCAATTCCACTCCTGGGTATTTAAGTGAGAAAAACAAAAATACGAACTCTAAAAGACACATGTACCCTAATGTTCATCACACATTATTTACAATAGCCAAGATAAAGAAACAACCTAAGGGTCCGTCGATGGATGAATGGATGAAGAAAATGTGTGTGTGTGTGTGTGTGTGTGTGTGTGTGTGTGTGTGTGTGTGTATACACACATGTGCATGCGTCCTGGTCAGCCGTTAAAAAAAGAAGGAAATCTTGCTATTTGCAACAACATGGATGGACCTTGAGGGCATCGCACAAAGTGAAATAAGTCAGAAAAAGACAAACACCTTATGATCTCAATTACATGTGGAATTTAAAAACAAAAACCAATACCAAGCTCACAGACACAGAGAAGATTGGTGGTTGCCAGAGGTGGGGTGGTTAGGTGTGGGAGATGTGGGTAAAAGGGATCAAAAGGTACTGATGTCCAGTTATAAAACAAAGAAGTCATAAAACCAAAACAAAACAAAAAATAGAACAATAAGTCACGGGGATGTGATGTGAAACGTGGTTGCTGCAATTAATAATACTGTAATGTATATTTGAAAGTAGCTAAGAAAATAGACGTTAAAAGTTCTCATCATAAGAAAAGGAATTTTGTAACTAAATGTTCATCGGACTTCTTGTGATCATGTGCAATATACAAAAATATCGAACCATTACATTGCACACCTAAAACTAATAAAATGTTATATGTCAGTTATACCACAACTTGTAAAAAAAGAAGGAAATATACAGGTGTTTTGGGATGAACAGGATGTACAAATACCCTAAAAACATGTGAAAAGGAGTTCATCCTTTTTTGGCATCAGTGGAATGAAAATTAAAACCATTGTGAGGGGCGCCTGGGTGGCTCAGTGGGTTAAGCCGCTGCCTTCGGCTCAGGTCATGATCTCAGAGTCCTGGGATCAAGCCCCGCATCGGGCTCTCTGCTCAGCAGGGAGCCTGCTTCCTCCTCTCTCTCTGCCTGCCTCTCTGCCTGCTTGTGATCTCTCTCTGTCAAATAAATAAATAAAATCTTAAAAAAAAAAAACATTGTGAAATACCATTATACAACCCCCCAAAAGTGCTAGAATGATAACATACAGAAAATAGCAAGTATTGGTGCAGATACAAAGCAATTAGAATTCTCGTCTAGTGGTGGAAGTAGAAATTGGTCCACCCACTTTGGAATACAGCCAGCATGTGCTACAGTTGGACATATACAGACCCCAAGATCCCACAATTCCAAGAGAATTCCATGGGCATATGTGCAAAAGATAAACACAAGACTGTTTCTCACAGCAACATTCATAGGAGCTCCAAAATGGAAACCATTCCAATGTGCATCAGGTGAAGAGCGGATGTATGTAAATGGTGAGGTAGTCACACAACAGAATGTCACACCACTGTGAAAACAAACCAATTCCTGATATATTTCATGACATGGATAAATATCACCACATAACATTGTCTGAAAGAATCAAGACACAAAAGAACACTGTTTCCATGAAAGACAGACACAACCAAACCATGGTGTGAGAAGTCTGGATTGTGGTTTCCTTCGGGAGGGTCTGGTGATTGGGGTTGATAGAGGGACTCATGGGGAGCCACGGGGCCTAGTTCTTGATTGAGTGATGATTTCAGGGGTGTGTTCTCTAGGTGCACATTCAAATTTACCTGTATGTACTTAGGATTTGTACACATACCTTATATAGGTTATGCCTCAACTAAGAGTTTACATAATAGCATTATGTGCTTAATAACGAAAACAGTCCTCATCATTTGATCAGTAAGTAGGGTGTGTTTTCAGGTGTCGAAAAACATGCTCTCCTTCCTTGACAAAGCCAACATCATGTCTTTCTCTGACCAGAACAGATTACATCTAAATGTAACCACTAAAACTGTAAAGCTTCTGGCTAAATGCATAGGAGGAGATCTGACTGACCTTGGGTTTGGCAAAGATTTCTTTATTCTGACACAAAATGCGCAAACTATAAAAAGGAAAATCCGTAAACTAGATTTTTATCAAAATTTTAAACTTTTGGTCTTCAAATGACATTGTTCTGAAAGTAAAAAGGCAAGCCTCCAACTGGGCGAAAATATTTGCAAACCATGTGTGACAGAAGACTTGTTTCTAGAAAATATATTTTTATATAATAATTAATAAATATAATTTTTATTAATTATATATAAATATATAAATGAATAAAATATATAAAAACTCTTACTGCTCAATAATAGGAAGACAGCCCAGTTTTTTTTAATGAACAAGAGATTTTTACCAAAACGCTTCACAAAAGCAGATATACAGTTGGCTAATAGGCACATGGGTGGATGCCCCAAGTTCAGGGAAATACAAATTAGAAGTACGACGAGATATTCTTATGCTCGTACTTGAAGGGCCAGAGCATCAAAGATTGGCCATCTTAGTGCTTGTGAGGGTGCGGAGGAACTGGGACTCCCATACACTGCTTGGGGAACAGTCATGCATTCTAGAAAAGTCAACATACACCCACACAGATACTCTGGTCCTAGGTATCTATCCGAGAGAAAGGAAAGCCCCATCCTCACTCAGACTTGAACACAGGTGTTCATAGCAAATTTATTTGTAAGAGCCAATAAATAACTACGAATCCACGTTTAAAAAATTCTAGAAAGATGTAGCCTCATCTGTGTTTATCTGAGGGTGGAAGTAGGGCAGGAAAAAGAGAAGAATTACCAGAGGCTCCAGGAAACTTTTGAGGGGGGACAGAGATGTCCACCATCTTGAATCTGGTCTTGGTTTGAAATACGTGCATTTTGTTGTATGTCAGTTATATGTCAGGAAACCTGTGCAAATGAATCAGTTGTTCGGAAAAGGAAATGTGAGCACGGCTTCGCTCTGACTAGCAGAAATAGTTAAATAATGTAAATGCTGAAATTTGTATCAAAATACCATTATATTGGAGAGTAGAAAGTAGGGGTAGAGGAAGAGAGGGGGAAGTCTTCATCTTCTGTAGCGTTGCCTCAGCAGATAGAGTCTAACACTGGAGAAAAAAAATTAGGGGCACCTGGGTGGCCCAGTCGGTTGGGCATCTGCCTTTGGCTCAAGTCATGATCTCAGGGTCCTGGGATCGAGTCCCACATCGAGTTTTCTGCTCAGTGGGGAGCCTGCTTCTCCCTCTGCCTGCTGCTCCCCCTGCTTGTGCTCTCTCTCAAACAAATAAATGAAATCTTTAAAAAAGAAAAGCTCCAGGTGTTAATCTCTTGGGGATCTGAACATTGGGATTTACGTGTTTATATTGTGCCTAAGTTGAGGGAATGCCTGAATTCTTTCCATTTGTCTCATGATAAGAGCCCAAAATGGAGCTATCTGAGAAAATGTGCCGCTTTGAAGAGAAATCCATGTGCTTCCTCCAAGCTGTGCGGGAAGGGGAGGCCTGACGCCCGGATTAAGTCTGTTTCTTCTTGTCCCTTTTCCAGGTGGTCACTTCTTCCACCGAAACTCCTTGTCTCCTCGGAGCCTCGTGTACGAAAGTGAATTCTCCACAATTGAACCTTCCTTGGACATGTATGACGAGAACAAAACCTGATTTTTTCTAAATGGGCTCCGGGGGTCACCTCTTTTGTGATTTAAATTACAATCACCTTTCTTATTTTGTATCTTTCTGTCAACGTCCATTTTTGGAAGAATGGCAGGGCTTTCTGAGTGCAGGTTGGGGCTCAGGGTTAAATTGCAAGGTCCCCCCCAAGGGGAGGCTTTGAGGACAGCGTTATCACCCAGGTGGCCTCGCAGGACTGAAAACCCGCCCCAAGCCGGCAGGAGAAAGCGGGCCCCAATAAGCTTGGCTGTTTCCAGAGAAGAGCAGGGGCCGGTGGGGAAGATGAGGGTTGCGTAGCAAACATGTCTCTGAATAATCATATGCTTTTCTGTGTCAGGGTGACAGCTGGGTGTTTTTTCTTTTTTAATACCCTTTGTGCTCCCCACTCACAACGTGTACTAAAGCCTGCAGGCGCTGCTGCTTACGGACACGGGGCCCAAGTTGCTGCTCCTTGGCCCCCTCCGTATTTTCTTGTCTCTTATTCTACTTTCTGTTAAAGAGCCTCTTCCTAAAGGTTCGTGAGAGGAAGTCTTGCCTTTTGTCCCTCCTCTGAGACTGGCCACCCAGAGCAGCACTGGGATGGGGGGACCCGCCGGCTACGCAGGACAGGGGTCGTCCAGCCCCCGTCACAGAGCTTAGAGCCGAGTGCTTATGTGACCACCTTGACCCTGAGGCCTGCGGACTCATCTGCTTGGCATCTGCTGAGGTGTGTACAGAGGTGGACCCCGGAGGCCGGCCTGGCAGTCTCCTCTGGGAGTGATGGCCAGTGGACATCAAAATCAGAATGACTCTGAGTGCTTTCTTGAGAAGTTCGAACCACATCCTTGCTGTTAGAGACCAGACGAGCACCCCTCTTCCTCCTTCCCGATCCAACCCAGCCCCCTCCCACCAGCCTCAGCATTGGCACCAAGAAGGCACGGGAGTTTCCAGAAAAGGACACAGTGGCCAGCATGGCAGACATTCAAGGACACACACGCTCCTCCCACACACCTGAGATGACATGGCGTTAACGTCACGGGAAACATGTGACCTGACCCAGAACCACAATGAGCACGTTTAGGAAACAGATGGAGGCATCCTTCTTGCCCAAGGACACAACCACAGTTCAGGCCGTTTCTCCTACCCACAGGAGCCACGTAGACATGTAAATGCGTCCAAGTCCTCAGATCCCCGGCATGAGAACGGAAACTCCAGCCTCCACTTTCTGGACTTAGATCTGGCAGCAGACCTCGTGGACCTGGGACCCCCACCCCCACCCCCACAAACACATACACCTGTCGATTTTTATAGACTCCGTGAAACACGAGTTTAAGGCGAACGCTTGACATGTTCCCGTGTGCGGCTGGCTTCTCTTCCTCACGTGTCTGTTCTCATCATCCCTGTAAGACGCCACAAACACGGTCGTGCCCCCCCAATCACAACCCCTCAGAGAACCATGGTGGAGAGAGCCATCAGGAGTGTCGCCTCCCGGTGACCAGCAGCGTTGTGTTTCTAATCACGTGAGGCTGGAACAGCATGGAATTTGTAAGGTCTCAACAGCTTTTTCTTTTTTTACCATCCACCAAGGGCTTCTGTTGAGGTTCCCCCCCTCCTTTTTATGGTCTTTGTACTATAAACATATTTTTAATAAACAGTTTCAAGAGGGCACTGTCCAGAAAGACAAGCTTTGCGCCCGCGGCTTTGCAGCGAGGGACTGGACCTGGAGGAGATGAGAACTCCGTGTGCCAGACGCTCTGGGACACACACCCGAGCTTTGTTTGGCTTGGCTCCTGTGACTGGGAAGATGGCTCACTTCTGGCCATGCTGTCCTCGCCGTGACCTTGATTTCCTGCTCCCGAGCTGAGACCCTCTCCGAGCATTCTCTCCTGATTTGTACCATCTGGAAAAAGCATATGCGTCACATTGCACTCGAGACATGACTTTTCCGGGAAAGGAATGAAATCGCACGAGAAGGAGGTAGAGATTCGAGCCCCTCAGAAATCTACCTGTTAAACAATAGTTGAGTTTCTGGCATATCTAGGGCACGCCTTCACTGTCAAAGAGCCAAGGAGGCATTTCTTACAGGGGAATTCATTCAGAATAGTGCCCCAGGTCCCAGCTCAACACCTTTTCCCTAAAAATCGAGGCCACTTCCCTGCTCAGCTACAGAATGTCCTGCCTTTGTCAGGACAGACGGTGACTTCTGCGTGGAGGTCACAACCCCCACAGGGAGCAGCAATGTTCCTCCCAAATAACAGCCTCTTTGCCGGCATGGGGGCTGGAGACCCCTCTGGGGAGCCACTCCAGGGACCCTGGACGGCAGGGACGCTTGGGGAGGACAACCTTCTCAGCACCCCTGCCTCGGAGAAGTTCGAGGTTTGGGGAGCAGCTCATCGACCATACAGGCAGGGTGGGGGTTATGGAGAGACACTCCTCCCCTGACCTATGAGCATCTCAGCCACAGCAAGACTTACAGTCACAGTGGTCATCAGTGAGGACGTGTAAATAACTTCTGATCAGGTTTTGTTTTGTTTTTGTTCTTGTTTTTGGTGGGTGGGGGTTACTATTTGAAGAACAGAAGGGACAGAGGAACTAGCTGCTTCTACCACAAACCCTTGTCCCTCTGGCGGACTGCTCTGAGCTGGACCTGGCTTCCAGCCTCTGCTTCCCCCTTCCCCCTCTACCTCCCCCCTCCCCCTCTACCTCTCCCTTCCCCCTCCATTTCCTCCTTCCCCCTCTGCCTCCCCCCTACATCCCCCCCATCTTCCCCTTCCCCCTCTGTCGCCCCACTTCCTTCAAGCCAGAACACAATAAGAAGGCCAGGCCTGGAGTCAGCCGGTTGGTGGGTGCAATGGGCAGCGAGTCCATCCAGGGCTGCCTGCCACTGCCCCACCCCACCCCCCCACTGCAAGGGAAGACAGGCTCTACTCCCCGCTGGTGACAGACCCCTCAGCAAGTCTGGGGAGCTCTGCTCAGGAAGGAAGGCTCCATCCCCCAGCTCCTCCTCAGGCCCAGCTCAGAGAAACTCCCCCACCCTCTGCACTTGGGGGCCGGGCCTATACCGCCAGCCCCCCCCCAAGGCCCCCAACAGCCCAGCTTCCAAAACACGGTGGGTTCCAAGGGTTTAGACAAGACAGGATGACTGAATCTGACGGATCTGATAGCTCCTGCGGAACTGAGCGTTCCTGCAGGCTTCATGAACTCTCCTTGTTTGTTATGACTGCCCACACCCACTTCTTTCCACCATCTCCATGTTCAGTGAAACTGGTTTTAACTGAGGGCAAATCCTAAGTGTCCTCTTGCTGTTGGCCTTGATCGCTTAGACCCGGTTTCTGCTCTGGGGAAGCGAGGAGGTGGTGCTCGCGTCACGTCCCCTTGTGAAGCGGTCACGGCACCTAAACGTCATCAGACACCAACACTGATGTCCAGGAAGTAGAATTTGAAAGGGAAAAGGCAGGATTATGAGGTCGCTCTCTCCAAGAGCCCTTGATTAAGTGCCCACCTTGTGCTAAACGCACACACTCAGAGCTCAGGCCACCCCAGTGACTGTGAAGACAGGCTGTGAGAGAAACTGGTACGTTAACAGTCAGCTGCAGTGGGAGGCCAGGCACCTTGGGGGCGAGTCAGGAAGAGGGAGGTTTCCTGGGTGCAGAAGGAGGTGCACAGGGCAGCCATGCAGAGGTGTGACTGGTCTCAGGACCCTGAGACTGGCAAGGGTGGTGGGAGGGGGCATATCACTTCCCAGGGTGGGTGTGGACCAGACAGGTTGCCCCCCTCAGGGGCCTGGTCAGTTAGGCTGACCCCAGGTCCCACTGAGAGCGGGAAAGGAGGGTGCCAGGAGGCTGAAGCAGAAGCCCAGGTTGGCAGTCTCGGTGACACGGGGGCTGTTGGTGGGACCCAGAGAGCACCCTGGTGGGGACACTTTCCATCTCAGGCTGACAGGGCCTCTAGAGGGAGGCCTGGAGAACCAGCTCTCGGGCTCAGGCAGAGTTTTGGTAGAGAAAAGGGGGTCAAGGTGGGGCCCCTCCACATCGGAATCCCTGGGAAGCTGTGTTTTAAATGAACTTGTCACCTGCACCTACCAAAGTAGGCCCCAATCCCAGGGATGCCCTAAACCTTATCCTTTCTTACCCCTTCCTCCCTGTCTCCCACCTTCTCCCCTCCCTCCCACCCTCTTTCTCCCCTTTCTGCCTCCCCCTTCCCTCTCTGTCTCTCCCACTCCCCAGTCTCCCTCCTGTCTTCTCTGTTTCTCCCCTTCTCCCCTCTCCCCTTACCCCCCCACCCATCTTCCCCTCTCCCCTCCCTGTCTCCCCTCTTCTTCCCTCCCTCCCACCCTCTTCTCCCCTCCCTCTACCCTCTCTCCTCCCCCCTTACGCCTTTCTCCCCACATACACACACAGATGTGTACACAAGGCACATGCACACACATGCACACACACACACACACACACACACACACACTTGCTCACAGGAGTTAGAACCCCCCAGAGTGGGTGTCCAGCTGGGCCTGGTGTTACCTTAATTTCCGATGATGGTGGAGGCCAGTGTGGGGCTAATATTGCCCGGTGCCATGAGAGCCAGGCTTGGGAAAATGCCCTGGGGACCCTGACATTTAAGGTATGAATAGAACGAGCTCCTGACAGCGACCAATTTAGAAAAACCACTGAGTGTCACTTCCCTCTTCAAGAAAGGAGGTGTTGGCCTGACCACATTGCCACAGGCAGAGGGACTGGCCCTCACTCACTCCCAGAATCAGAGTTTGGAGTGATTCAACAGAGCGTTCACTCCCAACTCCACACCCGAGTAAGGGATATTACCATAGGAGGACCACTGTGACACCCTCAGCTTAAAAGAAGTGTCCTCCCTGCTAAGAGCAGTTGTGCCCTTTCTTGTGACCTTGTCAGTAAATCATTCCAAAGCCCACTGGGAAAAGGAGAAAATGAGTGTATATGTTCACATAACATCCATGGATATTTTAGCAGGACTGGAAAACTTCCCTTCCAGAGGGAAGGTGCCTGTATTGGGTGCATGGACCTGTACTTTTCTTACTGTCCAGCAAAACAGCAGGAAGAGCCTGGCATAGCAGAAGGAGAAAGTTTTCTCCCCTAGCTGCTGAGCCCCTTTACCCCACTCTGGGGCTCCCAGCCCCCTTGTGGCCATGGGGCTCCTCTGGGGTGCCAGTCGGGTCAAGGAGTGTGTGGTCTTTCTTAGGAGTGTCCTGAAAGATCTCAACAAACTGAGCCTTGAAGAAGAGAGTCTGGTGGGCCCCCAGCAGACATGGAATGCAGTCACCTGCGTTCCCCAGAGCGACGTCCCACCGGCCTCCTGTGACTGTGGAGGGGAAGGGGGTGCCGGGGACCTCA